TGCACCAGCCATTTAAACAGCAGCCATATGGACCAGCCATTTAAACAGCAGCCATATGGACCAGCCATTTAAACAGCAGCCATATGCACCAGCCATTTAAACAGCAGCCATATGCACCAGCCATTTTAACATCAGCCATTTGCACCAGCCATTTAAACAGCAGCCATATGGACCAGCCATTTAAACAACAGCCATATGGACCAGCCATTTAAACAACAGCCATATGCACCAGCCATTTAAACAACAGCCATTTGAAGCCAAAACCTGCTGAGTCATGCCAGGCATTTTCTCCAAGTCTTATTTAACAAAACCCATTGTACTGTAAGCTATTGTTTTAAGTGCTATTGTTTTAAGTACCATTGTTTATTATATCTTAAAAACAGACCCCATTGTGTGCCCATTACAATGGGCCCTGACTCTGAAACAAGGGCCAACACACGCCCATTTCTGGGCCCAGCATGACTATTGTGGCCCATTATTGTTACCATTGTTAAGATCATTATTACTGCTATTGTTTGTAAATAATAGTCTTCATTGTAAACTATTTATTGTTGGCATTGTTAGGCCCATTATTACTGCTATTGTTTATAAATAATAGTGATCATTGTAAACTATTTACTGTTAGCATTGTAAATTCATTATTGTTTACATTGTGAAGCCATAGTTACATTTCATACAATTGCTGGTACAATTATGATGTTATTGTTGGCCTATACATTGTATTATTTACTTATATAAATTATATTATAGTAGACCTATATACTGTATTATTACACCTATATATTATATTATAGTAGATCTATATATAATAATATAGTTGGTTTATATATTGTATTATTATACCTGTATATTATATTAAGAAAGATCTAAATATAATATTATTGGTGATTTATATATTATATTAGCGTCAGAGATTCAATCAGAGATACCCATTCCCAGTCAGAGATACCCATTCCAAATCAGAGATACCCATTCCAAATCAGAGATACCCATTCCAAATCAGAGATACCCATTCCCAATCAGAGATACCCATTCCAAATCAGAGATACCCNTGGCAGGGTTGCACCAACAGGAATGATTGGCAGGGTTGCACCAACAGGAATGATTGGCAGGGTTGCACCAACAGGAATGATTGGCAGGGTTGCACCAACAGGAATGATTGGCAGGGTTGCACCAACAGGAATGATTGGCAGGGTTGCACCAACAGGAATGATTGGCAGGGTTGCACCAACAGGAATGATTGGCAGGGTTGCACCAACAGGAATGATTGGCAGGGTTGCACCAACAGGAATGATTGGCAGGGTTGCACCAACAGGAATGATTGGCAGGGTTGCACCAACAGGAATGATTGGCAGGGTTGCACCAACAGGAATGATTGGCAGGGTTGCACCAACAGGAATGATTGGCAGGGTTGCACCAACAGGAATGATTGGCAGGGTTGCACCAACAGGAATGATTGGCAGGGTTGCACCAACAGGAATGATTGGCAGGGTTGCACCAACAGGAATGATTGGCAGGGTTGCACCAACAGGAATGATTGGCAGGGTTGCACCAACAGGAATGATTGGCAGGGTTGCACCAACAGGAATGATTGGCAGGGTTGCACCAACAGGAATGATTGGCAGGGTTGCACCAACAGGAATGATTGGCAGGGTTGCACCAACAGGAATGATTGGCAGGTTGCACCAACAGGAATGATTGGCACAACAGGAATGATTGGCAGGGTTGCACCAACAGGCATGATTGGCAGGGTTGCACCAACAGGAATGATTGGCAGGGTTGCACCAACAGGAATGATTGGCAGGGTTGCACCAACAGGAATGATTGGCACAACAGGAATGATTGGCAGGGTTGCACCAACAGGAATGATTGGCAGGGTTGCACCAACAGGAATGATTGGCCGTCACAACAGTTAATTCCTGGTCGCATTCCTGCCGCGATTCTCTTTTGTTTACGAGGCGAGGAATGCGAGGTATGCGCACGGCCGTTACAGTCCACACAGTGTGTTAAATGTGTGGGTATTGCTGTGTTTATGTTGCGTTTCTGCTGTGTTTGTACTGTGTTAATACTGTGTTTGTACTGTATTTTTACTGTATTTTTGTTGTTTTACACGGTATTTTTTACTATATTTCTGTTGTGTTACTCCGGATTTTTTTACTGTATTTCTATTGTATTTTTACTGTGTTTACGCTGGGTTTTTACTGTATATATACTGTATTTTCACTGTATTTCTGTTGTTTTACACTGTATTTTTTACTATGTTTCTATTGTATTTTCATTGTATTTCTACTGTGTTTTTACTGTATTTCTACTGTGTTTTTGCTGTATTTATACAGTCTTTTTACTGTATTTATACTGTGTGTTTTTCACCGTATTCCTAATATGTTTTACACTGTATCTGCAATGTTTTTTTACTGTATTTATAATGTGATTTACATTGTATTTCTATTGTGTTTTACACTGTATGTCTTCTTTGTTTTCACTTTATATCTGCTGTTTGAAAACTGTATTTTTCACCCTTTTTTACTGTGATTCTACTGTATTTCTACTGTGTTATTACTATGTTTTTACTGTATTTATACCGTCTTTTCACTGCATTTCTTCTGCATTTCTACTGCATATATACTGCATTTCTAGTGCTTTTTTACTGCATTTCTACCGTATTTCTTTTGCGTTTCTACTGCATTTCTACTGCATTTCTGCTGTATTTCTACTGCATTTTTACTGTATTCATACTGCATTTTTACTGCATTTCAACTGCGTTTATACTGTATTTCTACTGCATTTCTAATACATTTTTACTGTATTTCTACTGCATTTTTACTGCATTTCTACTGCATTTTTACTGCATTTTTACTGTGTTTCTACTGCATTTCTACTGCATTTCCACTGCATTTCTACTGCATTTCTACTGCATTTCTACTGCATTTCCACTGCATTTCTACTGCATTTCTACTGCATTTCCACTGCATTTCTACTGCATTTCTACTGCATTTCTACTGCATTTCTACTGCATTTCTACTGCATTTCTACTGCATTTTTACTGCATTTCTACTGCATTTCTACTGCATTTCTACTGCATTTCTACTGCATTTCTACTGCATTTCTACTGCATTTCCACTGCATTTCTACTGCATTTCTACTGCATTTCTACTGCATTTCTACTGCATTTCTACTGCATTTCTACTGCATTTCCACTGTACTTCCACTGATTTCCACTGTATTACTACTACATTTCTACGGAATTTCAACCTCATTTTAATTGTATTTTTATTGTAATTATATAGCATTTCTACTGTACTTCTACATCAATTCCACTGCATTTCTATTGCATTTCTACTGTACTTCTGCTGCACTTCTACTGTATTTCTACTGCACTTCTACTGCACAGTATGCGTACAGTGCATGTACAGCACATGTGCTTTGGCACAATGGGCGCCGTGGGCACAATGGGCACAATGGGCACAATAACTACAGCTTGGGTACAATATCCTTCGTTACTGTACGCAGCCTGGCCATTGTGTGGACACAATGTGTGTACATTGTGTACAATACAGGGCCTCCTTCGTGCCGTCTTGAGGGACCTGTATAGTCTGTGTACTGAGCCTGTGTGCGTGTGTACTGAGCCTGTGTGCGTGTGTACTGAGCCTGTGTGCGTGTGTACAGGGTCTGTGTGCGTGTGTACTGAGCCTGTGTGCGTGTGTACTGAGCCTGTGTGCGTGTGTACAGAGCCTGTGTGCGTGTGTACTGAGCC